TGGAATTAGCTTTCATCACAACCCATACTTGTGGTAATAGGCGACAAACGGGATTCTGCGCGTCAAGCTCACTGACATTATCCATGAGTGTTATTGTATCTCAGAACTATGCTGTTAATAACAAGCAAACTCCCGTAAAACAAACATATAATCCACGACACATTTACCTCTTACAACGGGTATAAAAAGATAAAGAATACAGGCGAGACCAATGTACCGCAGCGTTACATTTATTTTTATTGATAACAGACCAAATTTTAAGGGTTGGGAAGTAACTTGTGTCAGGGAAATATCTATTTTAACCTTGGGACAAACTACTTGAAGTTTATGTAACATACGGTTTAATACATTTACACACGCCACATTTAGTTCATGTATAAAGTGTAAACATTCAAAATTGAATTCTTTCCATTTCTTATGCAAAGCAGGGAAATGTTCATATTGATAATTATGATGAAGAACCATCCTTTCTTAAATTTACAAATACCTTATCTACTACTGAAGAACATGTCTGTGTATTTAAAAGAAATTTCACAGTATCTATTTAATAATGAATTAAGAAAAAAATAACCGTACTGCATGTGCGCACTTTATGCCTTTAATTGCTGTTATGACTGACTGGAGAACAATGGTCACGGATATAATGCTGTAGTACCATGGGGCTTGAACATATAGAATTGGTTAATCTTGATGACTGATTCAGAAACGACAAAGGCATTTTGGACATCTGTATCACTGTTGGAGTATTAATTTACGTTATGTTTCTTTGTTGAAACAGTTCATAATATTTATGCATGTTCAGTTGCAATGACGACTAAGAGTACTTGTCGAATTTAAACAATATATACCTGGTATCTGTACCTGACCCTAAACAAAATATATGTGAAGCAACATAAATATAGAAGACACAAGTTAAAAGCCATTCATTTATGCACAACAATGATCGTGATTTATTAGAGATTTCCTTTTGTTTAAAACGAGATTTTCCAAAGAACACATATTGTATAACCTTATGATAACCCCTGTAAGGAATGTGGGTTTGGAAGAAAATGTATGTACGTCTGAATACGTATCTTCAGTTTTAGACACTATCAACAGATAGGAGAATGCTTTTGCTGAAACTATTCTTGGGCTTCTGCTTTCATTTCAAATAATGGTTACTTTAACTGATTTCAAAATATATAATACGGTATTGCCCATTACCCGTTCAGGGTATTTTTCGACAAGAAAATTTCACTATCATCATTCGTATGTTTAAAGTTATTATAGCTGCCTGCAGTTTCTTCCTTAACGCGTGCTTAATTCCATTTAAACTGAAAATAAAAGTGCAGCTTCTGTTAAGTTTCCGGAACCAAAGACAAAGTGTAGTTATCCAGAATACGTTTGTTATACCCTGCCTTCATGTTCAGTGGGGGCGATTCTAGCATCATGTATAACCACTTTTCCAGAAGACAATCACCCCTTCTTTGAAAACAATGATGTAATGGTATGTTTTGAACGGATTTCGACGTCCTTTTATTCTTGCCTTCAAGTGGCAAGACAATATAATAGCCGAACCTTACCACCATGCACATTTCGTGCAGGGAAATTCAATGGACTCCCATTGAACCGCTTTGCCTGAACTGTCAATGTCATCAAAAACATAATCATTCCAGCGTTATTTTTTCTCCGCCACATCAGTACAGCTGACACTTTGATGTAACAAGAACATTGTTGGGAAGAGCTTTTCAATTTCTCTCTTCAACTCTCCTCAAAGTGTACGGATATCATGGTAACCTTGGCAAGTTGTGGTCATAGGACACTTGATATAAAAGTAAGCTGAATAAATAAAGGAACGACGATGATTATTCGCATGTTTTTGTTTAAAAAGAGATTTACTAAAGAACACATGTATAACCGACCATTGCGAAAATATGTCCGCAGATATATCACATGCCCTCATCCAAATTTTCTACCTGTAAAACATATTTTGGGCGTATAAATCAATATGTTGTGTGTCACATGCACTACGCCTTGATAGGGAATAACTTGGGTGGTTGTCCTCAGTATTGCCCGTAATTGTGAAAATTGATTGTCGTGAGGCCATATCATAGGCATGTGTTTTCAATCACAGTCAAGTAATGATGTTACCAGGTGTTAGCATAATCTCCCCCACCCCCCGACACACACGTGCAAATAGTTCATACTTTATGGGTAAAGATCCCTTCATTTCAGTAACACGTATCCATCCAAAGCTAAAACTGTCTTGGCTTGATCTTTAAAAAAATCAATATATAATCAGTATACAAAGGACAGGAAACTCGCAACTTTTGTTATGAATGTCAAACTATTCATCATCTATCCCACATACACAGACCCAAGAGACACAACATGCCATTATCCAGGACAGTCTGACCATCCGATCAACATTACATGCAATTGTCTCAAGCGATCGCTCGCTTGCCATCAGTGATCGAAAGTTTAACGACAAAAATAGGTTACCTGTGCGGATCAATATACGAAAAGCAAACGAGAATGTATTTATGATATGATTTCGTAGGGTTGAGATTTATTTCATTGTTAAAATTTTGGAGGTCGAACCAAGGTTTTTGGCCGTAACTAGCTGTCACTTTGCATTAAATCGATAAGCTATCCCAACACCAGTAACAGCAATCGTGTTTTGCCAAAGTTAAGGGTTTTACAATACGATGTTTTTATTTAGGATTCGAGGCTAAATCACAGCGGAAATGTTCACAAACGGTGATACGCAAACTGTTTGGTTTAGTTAACCTGTGATTGCAATGAGGGTATTTTCTTCCCATTTCTTGTTTCATTGATCATTATGTCTGGTATCGCACGTGTTCACCAATAAAGGCATGCCTTTTACGAGGTGAGGAAAATAGAATCAGGTGGTTGCTGTTAAGTTAATCTGTCCGGCGGATAGAAGGGCACGTCCTTTCAGTTTTGAAAAATGCCAAAAACTCTTGCAAGATCGATTCTCCGTTAATTTGTAGCGATAGACGGTAAGGGGATCTGCGGCCTGAGCATTACTTCACACACAATCACATTTGGTATTTAGCATCTTTCATGAACGTTGGCGTCCTCTGCATCCAACACAATTTATTACTAGACATTAAAGCAATCAAACGTTAACTAACTCTTCCGTTCAATAGTTACTTCTAACTTGCAATGTTACGTTTCCATATCTTGTCATGGCTTATGAATTTTGGATAGCTAGATATCCATTTTGTTACGCGTCCATTCCAAATTGAAGCAATGAGTTAATCCGCAACACGCCAAACAGTTGTGAATCCTGGAAACAATAAGTTAATGTTATACAAAAAACAACTGTATATAAACAAATAACTGCAAAGTAATTACAATGGCAGTACAAAGTTATGTGGCCATACAATGACAATGCCAGTATAAAACACAATAGCAGTGATGATAGCAATGACGTTAATGCTGAAAATATTCACCATGTAGTTGACAGTTGTCACTTCCAAAATGGATTTTGACGTGATATCCAGGATGAATATATCATCCCCACACAACTGCTGATCTTGATTTTATACCGATGTGGCGTAAAGCCCAACTCAACTCAACTCAACTTGATTTAATATGAAATGAAAGAAGCATGAGCCTGCCCACTTGTAGAGTCTTAATACCTTCTGAAAATGTTCCAACCCATGCTGGATTAGTATATAGTAACAGAGGTATCCAGAAAGAATTTGACTCTAAAAAATCTAAATACAGTAACTTCTATACCGCTGCTAAGCATACATGTATAATTATAATACATTACTGTTAAAACAGAATGCTATGAACGTCTACTGAAACTGAAACTGTGAAACACGATTACAAAATTTTTAACACTAAATTACACTGTTAAATACAATGTGCAATAACCAATTACGATGATATTGGCACATTTTTCATGACACAAGCACACTCTTAAAATCGCGCATTACATTAGTTTTTCATATTCTACAATCCACGGAATTATCTTCTCTATCATGACAATCATTCACCACCAAGTGGTTTAAAAGAAAATGTTTCGATTATATTCTTTTCATTCATATCATAATGAAACGAATTGTTCCAGGAGACCGTGAAGATCAGGGATACAACTGCCACTCAGCAACTAATGCATGTTCTGAGAGGACACTAACAGACTCACTGACTTTATTCATGCATGCCATCGTATCCCAACTACATAGGTCGATGCCCATGGTGGCCATCACTGGATTGTCTGCTCCAGACTAGATTAGTGACGGACCTATAGATGGAAAGAGTCAAACAATTTAACTAACAGTACAGTTGATTGCTCGTGACTGTTGAATTTCGATTCCAGTTTTCAATATCAGTATTGTATATTTAGCAAGGAACCTGGTATGTATGCATAAGGCTGTACCATACAGAGAAGAAGAATCGAAAACATTTCTGACACAAACTTCTATGTTCACAATTCTGTGGTAAACGTTTTACTTTCTTTGGTATTAGATAATACAGATAATTAAGACATGATGTAAGATTTATGAACATTGAAATTCAGGCACTTTTGAAATCAAAATGTACCAAAACACCGTACAAAGTGGAAACATTAACAAAAGCATGGGCAGCTTGAGTCGGAAATTTACTTCCAGATCCGCCGAATTTGATGAAAATTACATATGACCTACAAAATATCCACCTAGCCATGCATACTGTCTACTATTCGAGAGTATAGCACTTAAACGCTGAGGAGTAAACCAAACGACATACAAATACATAATGTCCGAACTTTCCAGAAACCGCTGCAAGTAAAAAACAAATTCTTCAACAAAACGCAGTCGACATGGCCGTTCGTCAAATGCTCAGACACGAAACATATGACTTTTAAAGTGAATCCATGTTTGACATCGACATTTAGCATCGGAATTTCCGAAACATCTCAACGATAATGCCAACATTATCGCTTTTATCGAGAGAAAAGGGCATCACTATGATACAGCAGGTCCACTCAGAGACATGTGGCGACAATGTCAGACTGGACGCCCATCACAATTTCCACTCTGATGACTCGGGCAGCACAAGGGAACTCCTATAAGCGGTAAGAACACCCTCGAAAAGGCCCAATGAACGGCGTTGTGTTCAAATGTTGCACGTCAGGAATATGTCATCAGCTGCTACCCTTGGTCTTCCAGTAAGCAGATGTGCAGTGACCAAGTACTGTTATTGCCTGGTATTCGGCTCCGTCTCGTTGTTTTAAAACGCAAACGTCGATTTCAGGGATTACTGTGCTCATGCGCTGTTCGTCAGTGACAAAAGAGGAAGGGGAATGAGTTGAGATCTGTGTGTTATAAGAATGGGTTCCAACTCTTCCGAACTGGAGTCACACCGGATGACGTGAAGGGGTACACGGGAACGTTGCTCTATAAAATTTTACCCGCATGGATGAGGTAGCGTTATGCTCCGGGATGAATCGGTAGTGACGCTAATACACATCTGGTCATATTCGGTTCCGATCGGACTACCAAACTCTAAATCGACCAAAAAGACAACGGCAGGCATAACGACCAACGTTTTGCACAACAACCACGCCGACATCGTGTACTGCCGCCCACATTTCAGGCACCCGTTGGGGAATGGCGCCGGATTCCGTCAGACTTCATTAGACGTCTGATGTTCTTAGTTCAGCGTCGCGTTAGTTGTAAGTTTTCGTGTCATTAGAGGAAAACAGGTTATTGATCTGGGTGATTTCAGCTCATTTACATGACTTTATTGTGCATGAGGAAACGAACCATTTGCTGTAATGCTAAACACTTGAACTCATCTTCATAACTGTTACCAAATCCGTGACTCAATTACACATAAGAGGCACAACATAATTTGGATGACTTTTGAATTTTACATCTCCTGTTGCATGTTTTATGTAAACATTCAACGTATAAATCTCAAGTGGTATGGGCTGGACCCTGCTTTTGACAGAAAATTGAGTATGAGAATTGACGTATCTTTCTTTGTATGCAGCACCACTTTCCCGAACCTAATCATAACCGCCGGGCAGTTAGAGACAATGGCCAGGACAAACATGTTCTGCTCAGGCATTTTGTCAATATTACTTTGCAACATTTCAGGTTTCCTGTCGTTTCGTGATTGAATTAATTATACCTTACTGCACACCTGTTGTAATACGATGTAGATACATGGCTATAAATCCATATTGTCGTTGCTCTTGAGTGTGACCTCGGTGAATATACTCGTTTGTTTTGAAAAGTTATTCTAGCAACGAGGGATTCTGAGCATGGGTTTCACACGATGTATGCATTTGGAAATCCTACCTGCTTCTCTGCAGGAAGAGACAAGGCGTCAACACCTCAAGGCTACTTGCATGCCATCGGTGAATTGTAGATTGGCAGTGCTCTTGTGATGTTGATGTACACGGGGTATGCTCATCAATACAACAGGTAAGTAAGGCCTTTGGACAAAAAGGCTTGCAAGTTAACGCGTTTGGCTGAGACAAACCAGTGGTTGATATTAAGAGCAATATCAATGTGCGATGTGATGCTTTTATCCACGTCATCCAATCTGAAAATCAGAACCATTTAGTCTTTTCTTATATCATTCAAAGGAAAGTGATGCTCAAACATACTTCCTTTGACTGGCAGTTCTACTGAGAGGTATCGACTTTGAACTACTGGTTCAGAAGAATAACGGAGAAGGAAGGTACAGATTCTTCGTCTGAAGAGCTGCTGGTCTTTGGTTTCACACCAAAATCCTCGACCTGAGTTCGTCTGCTGGCACCATATCCATTCTCGTGCTAGTCGTCAACGATATAGGTCACTTTGGTCTTCCTCATATATTAACTCACTTACCCTTACAGAACTGATACCATTTTGTAAAACGGCGTTGAACCAGCTCCCTTACAAGTGGCACCCAGTACGACGTCTCATGTACGTGGTATCATCTTGCCAGAGGGAAGATCGTGAAGAAGAATATCCTGGGAAACACAGGGACCGTCGGTGGGGATATCTATATATAACTTCGATTGTCAAAACGTGTTGTTAAAATTATCAATAAATTTCCATGGAAGGAAACAATATGTAACTGGATGCCCTTTGGCCAATCTTGAACCTCATCATACCAGTGAAACAGCTCTCCCACTCCTGCTGAGTACGATGGTGTCTATGTTGAATAATTACCGAAATATGGATTAATGCAACTGCAGCTTACAAACCGTATCTGCTACTTTCACCAGAAAGCCACAATGCTTGCCAGGACATAGGCCCTTCTGAGCACAGCACGACTAATACCAAAAACGCCCTCCAGGCAACATGTAAAGCAAATTGGCATCATAGAATAGCAATCTATATTCGTAATTAGGGGAAACGGAAAACGGTTATCATAGGATGACCCCAGGTCTCTGCTTAATAGGTTCTACTCTATTGCGTGATGTCTAGGAAAACGACACGGGCATAACACATCTGGAATAGATAGGTCAAACGGCTTTCCGTTGTTGTGCCCTCGGACTATGTGATGGTCAGGCGAGTCAGTTAACATCCATGTGGTCTCATTTGTCATTGAGAAGCGTGTACTGTCAGACCAATGAACGATGAAGGCTGGGGATAGAAAATAGACTCATTGTGTCTGCTCACTAGAGACTATGCTACTGTCAAGAGATCCGTATTTTTCAGTCTGCGCTCATAAACCATGAATAAGACAGTATTCCTTGAGCCAAAGGACGAAATGCTTTTTAATAAGATAAACAAACAAACTTAACCTTGCGACACATCTTATATACAGTGAGTGAGTGAGTTTAGGTTTATGCCACTTTTTAGCAATATCATTGCGTGGGACACCAGAAATGGGCTTCACGCATTGTACTCATGTGGGGAATTGAACCCGGGTCTTCGCCGTGAGCAGCTAACCTCTAGCCTACCCCCGTTATATACAGATTGTGGTTGCGAGGCATATAGACACGTATTTACGTACATGCAGTGGATAGGCGTGAGGCCATAGAATAGAATGATAAAGCTTGTTTACTACACGATGCAGCTGATTTAACAAATCCAAACAGAGGAATCCAGTAGTAGTATTGACAGAATAGGCAAAACTATTACGACTGATTGATTTGGTTGGAGCATGTGATAAGTTTATGGTAGGCTGGAGATATGTAATATCCTTGTTATTGTCTCTTTAGGGGAATTGCTTCTTGGAGGTTTCTGATTTTGAAGTATTTGATGTTAGTTGTGAGGTGTTTGATTTTACCCCCCACTGTATACTGTGTCCGTTGTTGTCACAGATATCGCCTGATAAAGTTTGCTTGGAGTCAAGTTTGGAAACTGAGCTGTGAGGTTCTAAAATTCGTTTTTTGGGAAGTCTTGATGCTTCTCCAATGTAAGCTTGGAGCACTGACAATAGATACAGCTTATGTCAAATGCATATGAATCGGAAATTTCTGCTAGACGAAATCAAAATAAAGAATGTTTCTCAAAAGTTCAAATTGATCTGCAAACATGTCAAACTCTTATATCGTTCACAGCCGTAAAATTTGCAAAATCCTTTCACTGATTTATCCTCCTGAACTGCAACTAAAACAGACCAGTGTGACCGCGTCCGTCAGTTTCCCAATTTAGATCTTTGCATATAGAAAAGTTGGGAGTAGCAAATGCCGTTTCACAAAATCGTGTGACGAGAGGGGTGACTTCAACTTTCCAATAATCAACCTTCCCGTTAAGGCAAACAATATTCCCACTGCTCCAACCTTATAAATGGCAGAAGGCGAGGATGCTTTTTCTAAGACGATATCGAAGAGTATCATGCTAATCTCGCCCAAAAGGGTTTGATCAGGGTTACAGCATTCATCCCCTCAGTGAAGCTCCTTCATGGCGTCTTATGGTCGACATATAGCGGACGCATCAGTTATAGCAATGACGTCCGAAACTGTTAGATATTTTGTCTGTACCCTCAAGATGTATCATGGAAGTAGAAAGAAATTTCGAAATGTTTGTAATGCAAAAAAACCAGCAGTATAAAGAACGTGTTGTTGAGGAGATTAGATCAGCTGTTTTGAAAAGTATTGTAAAATGTTTTGGTGTAAACTTAAATCTCTGTTATGTGTAAGAGAAAATGATTCACCCATTACAGTTGATAGTTGGTTTCAATATTTTAAAACTTTGTTGAATCCAGGAAATGTAAACCATCAATCAGTGTTTGATGATATTGTTAGCAATCATTTATTATTAATCATGATGTTCTAGAATGTGAAAGATGCAATAATTCTGATGTTCTATCCAACCCTATAAGTGAAAGGGAGATTGTTAGAGCTATAAATTCATTGAAAAATGGTAAATCAGGAGGTATGGATGGAATGCCGCCAGACTTTATTAAAAAACCCATTAATATTTGTTCCAAATTTTGACATTTTGTTTAATGAAGTTCTTTACAATGGTGTTTCTCCTGACAGTTTTGGAATACTGGCATGATAGTTACTTTATTTAAGAAGTGCAATATCACAGATCCTAATACTTATCGTGGTATATCCTTGTTGAACACTCTTGGGACGCTTTTCACCTCCATTATAGAAATTAGAATTAGACATTGTCTGAAATTAAACTCAATCATACATGAATCACAGGCGTGTTTCAGGAACGATTATGCCACAGTGGATAATATATTTACCTTGCAGTCACTGTGTCAAAAGTATTTAACAAAACCAAAACATTGTTTATATGTTGCCTTTATTGATTTTGAGAAAGCTTTTGATTTGATAGATAGATATAAACTATTATACATTTTACATGATAAGGGTATTTGCAGTAAACTGTATAATGTTCTCAGTGATATGTATTCTAGATTAAAGCTTGTGTTAAAACTAACAATAGCAGGTCAGATATCTTTGATACATCGTCTGGTGTTAGACAGGGTTGCATGCTAAGTTCAGTTTTGTTTATTTTATTCATTAATGAATAAATATCCGAATTTACACACAGGGGTATATTTGTTCATGATCAGTTAGAGTAAGTTTTACTATTATTGTTTGCAGATGATCTTGCTTTGATTGATGACATAGTTATAGGTTTAGAAAAGAAATTAAATATTTTGGAAAAC